TTCGTGGCACAGTGGTTCTTGAGAAGAAGATTTTTAAAAGATACCACCAAATTTTCAATAATTCCCAATTATTTCCCCTTGAATTAGGGCGTGGCCCTTTATTTGAACAAACTTGAATCCCCTTCATCTAAGGATGCTTTGTGGCAAGTTTGGTTGAAATTGGCCCTGCTGTTCTTGAGAAGAAGTCAAAAATGTGAAAAGTTTACAGACAGACAGACAGACAGACAGACAGACAACTAGACAGACGGACGCCGGACAAAATGTGATCAGAAAAGCTCACTTGAGCCTTTGGCTCAGGTGAGCTAAAAAGATTAAGGATTTTTTAAAAACAAATTTAGCAACTAGGAGTGACACTGTTACCAGTACATTGTCCCCTCTTTTCCAAAAAAGACACCCAAACCCAAATCAAACTCTGCATGAAATCAGATTGGATTAGAAAAAATATATTAGAAGAAGATCATGTGTAAGATTTTATTTCCCCATTGCGCAAATAATTTTACGCCATAAACATATTATGATCAACTTCCGTGCAAAAACACACTTCTCAACACGAATCTGCTACAAAACATGTGGAGAAAAATATCCCATGTATGACATTATGAAATCCACGTCATGTGGGAGAAAATGATCTTTACAAGTTATTATAATACGTATATATTATCATAACAGTAACTTGAGGAGCCATTTCACCCCAAAGTTGACAGGTAGGGAACACCAGATCAAACTAGAGTTCACACTTTATCAGGGATTTTCAGAAAAGGTAAAAATGTCAAAGTACTTCATGGATTTCAGAGTATGTTTATAGTGTTAACATTGACAATCAAAATTTCATTGTTCGTTGTCTTTTTTTCATTAATAACCTTATAAACATAAGATTTTAGAAATACTTATCATTTTGTAACCATGTCCTGGAATTATGAAACACCTTTAGCATCTTAAGCTTCCCTCAAATATTGTTTATTGTGCTGAGATGACTTAGAAGTCAACCATTCAAAAATAAAAATGCTTGTTAATTTTGCATCAATGGGCTACTGTTGTAAGCAAATGAAAAGAGTTTCAGTTCTTAAATAATAAATAATTCCTAGTTGAGTAAAATTTGATTAAAATTTTGACTTCAGTCTGAGTCTTTTTATGATCCTGGTGGACCATTTGTCCTGTTTAGTGTGACATGACACACTGTATTGATTGATTATTACAAAACTTGTTGTGTCAGTATGACATGAGTACCCCTGCTGACAAATACGTGTTATCTCAAATGAATAAGTGGAAGTGACACAAACAAGACAAAAGTATAAACATCTTAATGACCTGATATACTGTAGACATATTTTTTCGCGGGGTCATAATTCCAGGAATCTCAATTTCTGTTTAATCCGCGGGTAGAAAATTATGCAGATTTTCTTGACTGTCACTATATGCCTTACATTTATATTAAGTACACTTGGAGAAATCTCCCTTGCATCAATTTTGACTGCTGAATAGCGTAAATTAATACCATGAGGAAAAAAGTACTTCTACAGTAATTAAGAATCAATTTACATTTCTCTACAGATGCACAGAATGAAAACAGATCTTTTTTTAAGTTCTGAAATTTACATTAGCCCTAGTACATTAAAAGACCTGCAAACATCAGAAAATTGAATACAGTACTGTGAAATCACTACTTTTCATGGGGGTTTAATTTTCATGGTTCTCGAGTTATGAAGAGACCAACAAGGTTATGTCCACCATGAAGTGTAATTTTTCTCAGATATTACCACTCAACAGTTCTTTATCCAAGAAATTAAATCCCCCAAAACCCATATTTTTTTCCTCAAACCACAAAAATTTGACCCCAGAAGTATGTGATTTTACAGTCATAGGCCCAGGGCTTTAATGGTTATCTGAGTATAATACAACACTATAAATGATCTAAAGAAGTGTAAAATTAACATTAACCCCCCCCCCCAAAAAAAAATAGTTGAAGCTAAATTGTCTGAAAGCAATAGAAATGTATGTACCTGGAAAAGGGGTCAACAATTTAGTTACTCTAGTACTGATAGAAAGCAATCTTTAAGTTTTAATGAAATGAGTTTTTTTATTATTTGACTGAGAATGTCTTTTCTGAATATGATGTAGTCATGGTTTGTGGGTCATCAATGTTTTTCCCAGATTAGCAGGTCTTTTTTACATCCCCAGAACACTGACTTTGTAAATATTGTTCCCTGAGGAACCTACAAGGAAATTTACTCCATGCTGAGTGTGTTAACCAGATGACCTGTTGGTTTGACTGACAAAGGTGTGCAGTCCTCAGAATTCAGATATCCTTGTCGTGACAGACTTACGAAAATTAATTTTTGTAGGTGAGCAATTTAACAGGGCTATAGTCATGCTTAACATCATACATGCATTAGAGGCCTTCAACATAATTATGTGTAAACCAAATATTTTGACAAGAGTACACAAAAGAATCATATTCTTTTAATTTCAGTTTGCCTCCTTACTAAAAACCATTGATGATCAAACACCCTATACTCACGATTATCATGGCTGCAAATATATTTGATCAACATTATGTTGATCAAATATATTTGCAGCTTACATTGAAATTGTTAAATTTCATTAATAGAGGTTTGTAATCTTAAAGATTATTTATATATCAAAAAATGCCTTGTCATCGTCATGATATCAAAATCTATATACTAGTGTAGACCACAGTCAAAGCTTGTTATCTCAAATACAGTTGGACTGAGAAAAAAAACACAGTACACCAGAACCCTTACCCAGGGACCATAAAATCCAGAATTTGGAAAAAAGGTACCTTTCTCATCAAAACTATGCACTTACTTCATCAGCTTAATACCCAAGAGCAAAGAAAAAGATTTTTAAAGTAATAATGCATTTTTACTATATACCGGGTAATATTTAAATTTCCAATGTCTTTGTTTGAGATAAAATTACAAATAGTTAATGTACTTTTATTTCTCCATCAATGTACTGGTTCATCAATAGGCATGGTTAAAAAAAATCATGTGCAGGGTTGGACAAATAGAGACAAGTTATGCCCTTGGCATTTATGCAAATTATCATGCAAGCCAATCAATTGATCACATCATGAAATCGAAAAATAAGACAGTTATTCCTTTATTCAATAGAGCCCCACCCTGTCACATAGTGCTTATACTTACCTAGATAAAGGAGGTCAACATTACCGCTACATCACCAAAGATTTCATCTAATTACCGCTACATTTTTTCAAATTTTAGACTGATCATTACCCCTATATTATTTTGGTCAAAACCAACTCATTACCGGAGTTGCCCTTAAAACTTGGACAGGGATGCCAAAATTTTAACAAATCGCAGAGCTATAGCATAAGCTTAAAAGCATAAGATTTTGGGGATCACTACTTCAACAATTCAATTATGTTGAGATAGAAAAATGTTAAAGTTTTCCCAAATAAAATCTTTCTTTAAAATTCAACAATGCTATAGTATTACTAAACTAGAACTGTCCAAACAGGACAAAATACCCCCCGCTGGGTTTTTGAGAAGTAAGTTTTTCCATAATAAAGATATGTATCACACATGAATTATGAAATTTTTCTTCCAGTGACCTTGAACTTCCCCAAATGACCTTGGGTCAAGGTCATGACACACCCTTGGGTCATGGGCAATCTTTGCATGAAATAAGAACCTACCAAGTTTATCCATAAGAAAAATATGGAACGGACACGAATTATGAAATTTTTCTTCCAATGACCTTGAACTTCCCAAATGACCTTGGGTCAAGGTCATGACAAACCCTTGGGTCATGGGCAATCTTTGTGTGGAATGAGAACCTACCAAGTTTATCCATAGAAAGATATGGACTGGACACAAGTTATGAATTTTACTTCCAGTGACCTTGAACTTCCCCAAATGACTTGGGTCAAGGTCATGACACACCCTAAGGTTATGGGCAATCTTTGTGTGAAATGAGAACCTATCAAATTTATCCATAAGAAAGATATGGACCAGACACAAATTATGAAATTTTTCTTTCAGTGACCTTGAAGTTCCCCAAATGACCTTTGGTCAAGGTCATGACACACCCTTAGGTATTGGGCAATCTTTGTGTGAAATGAGAACCTACCAAGTTTATCCATAAGATGGATATGGACGCCGACACTGACATTATGAAATTTTACTTCCAGTGACCTTGAAGTTCCCCAAATGACCTTGGATCAAGATCATGACACACCCTTGGGTCATGGACAATCTTTGCATGAAATGAGAACCTACCAAGTTTATCCATAAAAAAGATGTGGACCAGACACAAATTATGAAATTTTTCTTCCATTGACCTTGAAGTTCCCCAAATGACCTTGGGTCAAGGTCATGACACACCCTTGGGTCATGGGCAATCTTTGTGTGAAATGAGAACCTACCAAGTTTATCCATAAGAAAGATATGGACCGAACATGAATTTTGAAATTTTTCTTCCAGTGACCTTGAAGATCCCCAAATGACCTTGGGTCAAGGTCATGACACACCTTTAGGTCATGGGCAATCTTTGTGTGGAGTAGTAGATTCTAATGTCCCTCCGTAAGAAAGATATGGACCAGACACGTTTGCACTGACAGACGGACAGATGGACAGCTAGACAGACAGACAAGTTGATTCCTATATACCCCCCCAAACTTCGTTTGCGGGGGGGTGTAATTAACAAAGGCATCACAAAGTGGAGATTACCCTCACTAAGAACATACATGTACACCTTTCTATAAATCATATGAGAATTTGACATCAATCTTGATGCAAATTATGTCACTTCCATTTCACACCGAATTAACTTGCTTATCATGACACACACATATGATTGCGTTACTACATGTATATCCCTTTCCAACTCCATTGCAAGAGAATAACCATCAAAAGATAGCCAATTTCACACTAAAATATTAGTTCAAAACTGAACACTGAATTGAATTTGGCACATCTCTCTTTCTCCTCTCTTTCTCTGATAAATTAGGATCTTACTTGCAAGGCATTGTGGGATGATGGTAGAGACAAGCGTTGCCATTGACGCACGCTGGCCAGAACCGGCATTTCTCAGACAATTTGGCCGCTTTTGATGGTAGAACTTCTTCCTCTTCTTCATCTGTGGTAAATTAAAGATATTGCTTTAAATAGTTATAATGTAATTAAATAACTGAAAGCATGACAATGACTGAATGACAGAGGGAAAGGATTCTACCATACCCCCCCCCCTCCCATTTCATAACCTGGCCCCAATAGAGATTTCATACAAAGTAATGCATGACAGTATAATGTAAAGTAAGCAAGAAACTAACCATCTGTATCTTTCAGGCTAAATGTGATTGGCTTCACTTCCGGCGCTGAATGTAGATTAGCCTTCTTTGGGATTTCATTTGAGACCTCCATGTCACCTCCCCCGACTTCTTTATCGGCTTCAAACCGGTCAGGGTTCACCCCATCCAGTGTGACAATAAACCTGGTGTCCACGGGTGCCACAAAGGCTGTGGGTTTTTGTCTGTTTAACAAAATCAAAGCATTATTGGTTTTCCTTAAAAGTCATATGAAATAATGCTTAAGTATCTAGTCTAATCTTCAAAACTTTCTGTAACTTAATGAATTGTCTTAAACAATGCAATGTTAAACTGTTTTATTCCATGTTCAGTTTTTTTGTAAAATAATTCAACAAATTTTTTTATAATAGAAGACCCACGTTTTGGTCTGAGCTAGCTTTCTTCCAAAATGTTCTTCTGCAAACTCTGCTGCTTCAACAACAGCGCCCTCTGTGAGACATCGTCATCCTCATCAATATCTGCCCCCTTAAAGACATCCATAAACCACCTCTGGTTTCGACCCTCTACTGCATTTACCTCCATACTGCCCTGTGAGAGCTCCCTCTCAGACTCCTGCTGTAGCAGTTGCTGTACATCTGGATCAAGGTCAGGACTCACAGACCGGTCATCATCTGACCCCACAGGGAGCTACACAGTGAAGGAAAAAAGTACTTATCCCAGTTCTAAACTGACATGTAGTGCCTTTTTACCGGTATAATCTTTATGATGAAACAATAAAATATAATGCATGTACATATTCATTTGTTGTCAAAATTCTAGAATAGATTTATGTTCTAATGTTAAATTAATTCTCTCAACATAATAACTTACACCTGCACCTGTAAAAGTTCTATTTCAAGTTTTTCATAAAAATTTCGGTACATCCACACATGAAACACAAATTCTTTTCTACAGAATATTTCTAGTGAGAAATGGACTTGATTCCTATGCTGTATTTGATTGACCTGTTGACTGGTGTTTGAGCTGGACTTTTTAACCTGACTGACCTGTTGACTTGTGTATTGAGCTGCTGTTAAAAAACTGACTAATCTGTTGACTGGTGAAATGAGCTGCTGTTAACCTGACTGACCTGTTGACTGGTTTTTGAGCTGTCAACCTGACTGACCTGATGACCGGTGTTTGAGCTGTCAACCTGACTGACCTGATGACTGGTTTTTGAGCTGCTGTTAACCTGACTGACCTGTTGACTGGTTTTTGAGCTGCTGTTAACCTGACTGACCTGTTGACTGGTTTTTGAGCTGCTTTTAACCTGACTGACCTGCTGACCGGTGTTTGAGCTGTCAACCTGACTGACCTGATGACTTGTGTTTGTGCTGCTGTTAACCTGACTGACCTGCTTACTGGTGTTTAAGCCACTGGTTTAAGTTGTTAACCTGACTGACCTGCTGACTTGTGTTGGAGCTGCTGTTAACCTGACTGACCTGCTGACTTGTGTATGAGCTGCTTTTAACCTGACTGATATGCTGACTTGTGTTTCAGCGGCTGTTTATCAGACTGGGGGCTGACTCAGTTGGAGCTGCTGCACTTGACTCACACTGCTAACTGGTGTAATTGAGCTGCTGTTCACCTGACTGACCTGCTATTAATTCTGAGTGTTTGAGCTTCTGTTCATCAGACTGACCTTGTAACTTGTGTTTGAGCTGCTGTTATATGACTACCTTTTACGTAATTTTATATTGTGTTTGAACTGCTGTTCACCTGACTGACCTAATAATAAAAAAATCTTGACTTGTGTTTGAGCTGCTGATCACCTGACTGATATGACTGGTGTTTGAGCTGCTGTTCCAACTGACTGACCTGCTGATTAACTTGTTTACACATGGAGCTGCTGTTAACCTGACTGACCTGTTGACTTGTGTTTGAACTGCTGTTAACCTGACTGACTTGCTGACTTGTGTTGGAGCTGCTGTTAACCATACTGACCTGCTGGACTGAAGTTTGAGCTGCTATTAAACAGGCAGGTGTTAAAATCTCTGTTTTGTCCTGGATCTCAATGTACCGACTATCAACCACTGGAATCACACGTGGCACTTCTTGAACTAAGAACAAGATAAAATGCCAAAATTGCAGTTCAACAAACTTTTATTACAAATCAGCAACTCCAATTTCCAACCCTGATAGTACCCATTTCTCTATCCTTAAATGCCCATCAAGTACATAATACCCTCATTTTAAATTAAGGCATTTTATAGTAGAAAAGGATTTACAGAGAGAAAGTTTTAAAAAATTTCATCTCTCTAACCAGTAGTTCAATTAACAAAGATTGCATGAAGTCTTCATTTTTTTTTAAATAAGAATTCAGATAATTAGAATATCATTAAATACTGTCACTTGGTGCATTGAAACATTAGAAATAGAATGACAATTAAAAATAATTTTTTTTATTAATCAGATGTTTTTTAGTAATTAAAATAGGGGAAGATAACAAAGTCTTACCAAAAGTCAAGACCCCAAATAAGTTTTGGGGCACATGGTCCTTACCATGTTTTACGAATAAATGGAATTATGTCTAAACATACTGACAAGATTTTCTGACACCTAGGCACATCTGCTTATGTATTCAATGGTCATGATGATGTGTGTGGCTCAGTACCATGCAATACCTTAAGTGGATTTTAATTACAATGTTTATAAGTGAGGTTTGATACTAAGTACAACATTATCACATACGAAGGTTGATCCAAAAGTAATTTCACAGTGTCCGTATCTTTTATATTTGGCATCATATTTTCACATACAATTTACCAAAAGATACACAAATATAAATCTATTTAACATTGAAATTTTAGTTTAATAATGTTTATTTGAATTTATTTTATAAATGTTTGAAATATAGAGCATAAGGGGTGTCGCCCGCGTCATAACGGAACGTCACCGTGTATATCCCAACATGCGGGGTGTATACTATGTTGTGCATGGGGTGTATGCTTCCGAAGCGAGAGAAAGGGGGTCAATGTACGTTCTTTGTCCGTTTTCTCAACTTACGGATATTTTTCGCCAGAAAGCATATGCCTACGGAAGAAAGCATTATCTAAGGAGTATATGGATACCTATGAATCCACTGGACACCTTCTAGTTTTATCAAACACCTCAACACAATTCCGAGGATCGGAGCAAGATTGACGCTACACTGTGTTTATGATCAAATATCAGAACAAAGCGTTGCTTTATCATCACTTTTACATTATTGTCAAATACATGTTCACTATATAAACGTTTGTACAAATTGTCTGTGAATAAAACAGTTCGTATATAAAGATATTGACGAAAAATCAATGTTGTGTCCGGGGTGTATGCAACATGTTGTACGCGGGGTGTATGCCCCTCTCTTTACTCTATAGTATCATTACCTGAAATATCATTAAAAAAATTTCTTAACAATTGACTTTTGTGAAAGTTCTATTTATTTTTGTAAATTATTCACCAGTTTTGTAATAGCACAACTTCAGGTTCATGAATTCGATTTACTGGGGAAAAAATTGATACACGTTCATCGTACTTTTGGCTTTACACATGGAAGTAAATGTACAGGGTGCTTTGTTTAACTGTTTAATGTGATAACCAACAATTTATTCCTTCTTTCGATTTAAAGGCACCTTATTCAGATTCTTCCCTTATAAATGCTTCATACATGGATCATTTTGAACATTTAACATTTTCTCACAATTTCTGTTTAACTTTTCAATATTTACAATATTTTTTTAAATGACATTGAAAATATTTACTTTTTGTTATGTCATAAACACCGCAAAAATATTCTCCTTCATGTAGTATTTATATGCTATGTACTTTGCCCCCAGGAGCCCATATTTGGAAGGAAACTATTTGTTTTATATTGAGGCATTGTATTGTACTGAGTACATATTTTTTAGGAATGTGCCCGGGTGTCTTAGGTCATTTTTTTTTGGGGGGGGGGGGGGTAACTTTACTACGTGTATATATGATAATGAATTAGAGGAGGGGTGAACATTAATTGATATTAAAATTACACGTCAACGTAAAATTGTACCAGGTAATTGTACCCAAAACAGTTTTTTTTTCAATTGTGCATGCCCTCAGAAAATTGTCGTCCCTTATTACAAATGAGAATTTTTATAGCCAGCTTTACATGTTGATTGTGATTTGTAAAATATGAAATCTTTTCAGAAAAGGAAAAATGAGTTCACGTATTGCGAAAATTGAAACGAAAATTAATATATCATACAGACACGTAGTATCACCCCCCCCCCCCCCCCCCCCCTTTTGCTCTGACACAACTTTCACTACAGAAAATGTTCATCCAAAGTCAGGTTGCCCCCCTTTTTTTGTTGCAGCATGGTTAAACAATGGTTATATAGTATGTTTAAGTAAAAAAAGGAGAATTGGTACTTTAAAAAATGGGACCTACAGCCCCATCTGAAATAGGAATTTTGAGTTACGATAAGTCCCCCCCCCCTTTTTTTTATATCTAATCAACTTATGTCAAGGTTTTTTTTCAGGTACCCCACCCCCTTCAAAAAAACGGGGGGGGGGGGGGGGGGGGTACATCATTGTCATAAATGCTTAATAATACATGTATTGATAACATAAATGTTGCAGAAACAAAAAGAAATTTTCATAATACACCATTCATATAGTGTGTATGTCTATTATTTTTAATAGGCGAAATATTTAGATTAAAACGAGCCGAAAGGGCAAAGTGTCCTCAATGCTGGGATTGGGGAGGGGAGGGCGAGGGCCCCCTTATGATTATGTAGATTTAGACCATTGCGCCATCTACAGTGTAGCATTAATTCAGATAACAATCGCTCCTTCCACATCTAGCGCCTACAATGTATTATGTTTGAATATGACAGTTTGTTTTTAATTTTATTTTTTTATTCTTTTGATTTTTAAAAATTTAGTTAATTTGTTTTATACTTCAGTAAGTTTTTGGAAATTATTTTTTGGTTCGGCATTAATGTTAAGGTCTTCTATCAACAATATCTATCTCTTATAAACCTGTGTGACTAATATTTCCGTGATACCTCGCGCTAACAATCCTAAGAAAAATATGGGGTATACACCCCGCGTACAACATGTTGCATACACCCCGGACACAACATTGATTTTTCGTCAATATCTTTATCTATGAACTGTTTTATTTACAGACAATTTGTACAAACGTTTATATAGTGAACATGTATTTGACAATAATATAAAAGTGATGATAAAGCAACGCTTTGTTCTGATATTTGATCGTAAACACAGTGTAGCGCCAATCTTGCTCCGATCCTCGGAATTGTGTTGAGGTGTTTGATAAAACTAGAAGGTGTCCAGTGGATTCATAGGTATCCATATCCTCCTTAGATAATGCTATCTTCCGTAGGCATATGCTTTCTGGCGAAAAATATCCGTAAGTTGAGAAAATGGACAAAGAACGTACATTGACCCCCTTTTTCTCGCTTCGGAAGCATACACCCCGT